AAGATAAAAAAGAAAGGGAACTCACAATTTCATCAGGAAATTCTTTTAAATATTTTCTTTGTTAGCTCCCTTTTTTGATTCGTTTATTAATGTTATTTTATAAAAACTTAAAGCTTTTTATCATATGAAACAATGACAATTTAAAAAACTATTTTTATTCGTACCTTTACATAATTACTTAAGCTTGTATTGTAACCTACTCGATGTAAGTGTGGCACTAGCATGTACATCAATCTTTTCACCCCCAGGCTGATGGTCTTTGGGGGAGGACGCCGTGTGTGTCTGGGGGAGGCGCTGGCCAAAAACAGGCTCTTCCTGTTCGCCTCCGCCCTGGTCCAGAACTTCAAGTTCCTGCCGTCTGCTGACAACCTCGCACAGCTGCCTGACCTTGACCCCAGGACTTACGACATGGGACTCGTCCTTCACCCTAAACACTACCAGCTCCGAGCATTTCCACGGCACTGAACTACACAACTTTCAAGGCCATAGCAAAGTCATCCCAAGGTCACCCGAGGTCATCCCGAAGTTATCCCAAGGTCATCCCAGTGCTTATGAACTGTTTTCAAATAACATACAAAGCATATATGTATATATATATATATATATATATATATATATATATATATATATATATATATATATATATATATATATATATATATATATATATATGCTTACGGCATAGCTTAAAATATGCTTTCGATAAAGGCGCATAAGCCCTAACCTAACCCCAAATAGAACCCAAACACTCCCCTTTACACCAATGGTTCTCAAATTTCACAACTTTGTGAACCACTTTGTAAGTTTTCTTCCCAAAACAACCCCGTATCCATATTATACACTCTAGTGTGTATCCCTCTTCACTCTGCTGTAAGCGATTTGCCATTACTCGTACAATGTAAAGCATATTGTGACTATCATTGCACAAAGAACTGATAGATTTATAAGCATTCTGAACTCTAAGAGCCGTTTTATCATTAGAGAGTTGGACGTTTTTGCGTTGGAAAGTGTTGCAAGCGGTAGTGTGAGGGAAGGTTGTGGATGTTAAGTTTGATAAAAATGTTGAATGAATGTTTTAATGCATGATGAAATGGATAGTTTGCTTGTTCCAGTGTCCCTATAAGGTGTGACAGTAACAATTTCTGAGAGCCATTAGCACTCGGGAACTGGGGGATTAAGTAATAAATGTTTCTATGTATGTATAAATAATTTAACCTAATTAATTATTCAGTAATGAGGGGGGGGGGGGGCGTAATTAGTCGATAATTGCCAACCCGTGAATCTCAGCTAGCGTCTGTAGGTCGTTGATAATTAACCCAGCTCAGTTCGTACCTGGTTACCTTGGGGAACGTAGAGGCGGCTGGGCATAGCACAGACCCCTCCAGGGGCGTATTCAGGGCAAATTAGGGGGGAGGGGTTATAACTCTTGTGGATCGTCTCATAAGTGGGGATTCAAAATGTTGACAATTTAAGACAACAAATTATTGTAATACTAATCACCCCCTCCCCCTCATGAGACGATCCTGCTACGCCACTGGACCACTCTACCCCTTTTATGTCAGCGTAACAGACACCAATGACCTCTATTCCTCTGCCCTATAGAACACCTGGTTTGAAGGGGTTAATCACTTTCACTATTCAATCAACCTTACTTTATGTATATGATATAATGTGATGTCTTTTCATACCAAGCTAGTGGTTTAGCTTCGCTAATGAAATGTTGATGTTGTAGATAGTTGATAAATGTACATTTTCTGTAAACCCAAACTGCATCTGTAAATACACTTCATTTATTTTTTTAATTATTAAATGCGTATACGTATGTGTATAAATACCCAGTACAACCGCCTGTGTTTAAATAATAAACTAAGTTGCGTCATGAAATACACTGAATGTAAAAATATTGTGAATATGTTGACTATGTGATTTGACTTAATAAAATTTAAATCGTAATCATCTGATTTTTAAATCTTTTTTTATAAAGACAATTTTACTTTAAAATTATTGGAACAGTATTATTTCCATACACTATATAAATCAGTTTACTTTATTAAATAGTGCAGAAAATATACCGACAGAGAGAACCTACCTGTTCCTGCTAGACAGGCTAGACTCTAATCAAATTGATTTTAAAAACATCTCACTAGATATTTGTAATATTGATCAATAATTAGAGAATTCATGGCTGCGTGCATTAGACGAATACATGATATCCATTATTGGGTTTATTAGCTTAGATACGACCTAAAACCAATACTGGCAAAGACCACTAACTATCAAAGACGTAGATTTGATCCTTTGATATCTGGAAGCTAAAACAAAACATCAAATTTCACGGCATTGTTATAAGATAATTGTAGACTCAAACTTCGTCCGTGACGACTTAGGCAAGATTTGTATTCCCTGCATAACAGACACACTTATGGGACACATTTGCATTACTAAACGATAAGATGAAAGCTTATTCAAATTTGCGCACCCCCTTTTTTTTAATAGTCTAGCAGGACTTACTCAAATTTTCGTACCCCTATTCAAGTAGTCTACCATTAAACGTCACTCACGCACCTACTACGTCACAGTAACCACGTGCTACGCAAATACTCTCTTCCCCTACACAAAAATGTTCATTCTCTTCAAAACAGTCTAGTCATTGCGCCGGCAACGTTTTGATATCTTCACCAAGATCAAGTGTGACTTAATCGCTTCATCTTGACCGGAAAAACTTGTAACTGGGGTACCCGCAGAAGAAATTTTTATCTGCAGCTATTATTGTGTCAATGGCATTATATGCTACTTAAAACTCTATCTTTAAAAAAAAAGGTCCCCATTAATCACAGATAAGCTGATGTTCTCCACCTTCTATCTGTCAACACACTGCACAACAGACCTAGTAGAGCACAGAGAACTGCAACACGACTACATCAAACACAACACACAATGGGCAAGGAAAACGTAAGTCTGTTAGATTTACGGGGGGGGGGGGGGGGGGGGTACAATTTGTTTGTTTTCTTTTTTAAAAATTGATTTAGTTTCTATTTTGGACGTAAAGATTGGTCCGAATTTTTTTTTTTTTTGAAAACTAATTATCAAAATGAATTAAAAAACCAAAATACCTCAGCGAAATAAAATTGCCAATTTATGAAACTAAAATCCTAGTCTAAATGTCTTGTTGAAATATTAGAGTTGATAAAAAAAATAAGAAAATAAAAAATTATTATCAAAATGTAAATAATATTTTAGACTAGATTACATAACAAAGGATCAAAATGAAACATTGCGATAATTTGTAAGTAACTTTCGCCCTCGATTGGGCAAGTATATTCAAGTCTTTTTACGAAGTAATAATTATAAATGTATTCCAGTAATTATTCGTAACTTTGTCATTTTATTCAATTTTAATATTGTTAGATGAAGAAATCAAGCACTGAGGTGGGGGTAGAGAAGGTGGAACTGAAACGACAGATGGGTCTGGTGGTCGCTGCGTCCATCGTGGTCGGCTCCATCATAGGTAGGTCACGTGATCAGATTTGATCAAAGTTTATTTTAAACTGCTGCTTAATGACAGGTTACAAAGAAAAGATTCAAAAATTAAGTAAAAATTGTTCTGATGTGTTGATATGTAATACATTGCGTTGGTTTTTCTTAAATGAAACATGTTGAAAATAATATAGGTCTCAGCATCAAGACACATGGGGCAGGTGAAGCAGTTAATCTGCTTCATAGACCTCGGCATATGAAAGGATACCGTGGTCAGCATCATGTCCATCCTCCTTTACTTTCCGTTACATTAGTTGGGTACCCATCAGAGCTGCGTGGACTCAGTGACATTCTACTGACTTGAACCCGGATTCAAACTCGAGACTTTCGGGTTAGCAATCTAGCCCTCTACAGTTAGGCCACGCCGCCCCATAAACAATAATAGTTTCACTATTCGATTCAAACATTAAAACAATTTAACAAAATATTCTAAATTGATTTGCAACGTTTTGTATTGGGAATAATTTACAGTTTTACAGTAAAGTAAAGTTTTCCTTTCAAACCTGACGGTCTATGGTGCAAGTGAAGTAGAGTTCATTTGTTTCTGTGGCCTCGGCATATGAAGAGATAGTGTGGTCAGCACTATGCCCAGCCGCCTTTACTTTCCCCAACGTGAGTTAGGTACCCATCAGAGTTGGGTGGACTCAGGGACGGTCTACTGACTTGAAGCCGGATTCGAACTCGAGACTTACGGTTTAGCAGTCCAGCTCTCTACCGCTCGACCACTCCGTCTCACGTGGTCATATCTATAAGGGTTAAAAATGTATAAATTAAAGGACTGGTTCAAAGATGCATAACTGGTTCTCAGCTAAAAAATCTGTGGACACAAACACTTCTATTATAGTTCTACACAATATAGAACAATAAGATAATTTAGAATCTCTTTAAAGATGAACATATCGAAAATTACGATATTCAAATGCATAGACGCATAAATTAAGATTTATCATTTTTTTTAAATTATTCCTCGCCGTTTAAAAAATCTGAATTAAAGTTGTTTTTTCTCCTTACCCGAAAGTTTAACGGGCCTAGAAGCTAGTACTTCATATTGTAATACTATTAATAGACCTTGTGAGTGTAAAACCATAATAATCGAATGAGTTATGACCTACACCGTGACCATGTGTCATGATAATATGTCAATTTTTAAAAACCGTCTCAACTCTTCCATCCCCAGGTTCTGGTATCTTTATCTCACCTAAAGGCGTGCTGGCAGCGTCAGGCTCTGTGGGTCTGTGTTTGGTCGTCTGGGTGGTGGCTGGAGTTATTTCCCTTGGCAGTAAGTTGTCGCCAATGCCTTAGTTTATGCTAGTGCTAGTACCTATTACTAAATCAAAACTTTAAACCTTACGCTAATTACCAGATTGAGCATTTTACTTCAAATATATTTTTCAGTGAGCTGTTTTGCGAGTGTTTGTTTTCGTTTACTTTTTGGTGTTTTTCTGTAATCTTTACAGGCGCACTGTGCTACGCTGAACTTGGATCAATGATTGGCAAATCTGGCGGTAGTTACACTTACCTTCGTATGGGCTTGGGGAATCCCCTTGCATTTGTCTACGCATTAAATGTAACTTTCTACGCACAGCTGATATATATATATATATATATATATATATATATATATATATATATATATATATATATATATATATATATATAAAATTGATTAATCAATTAATCAGTTTTTATAGAAAAAAAAATATTTAAAATATAAGTTATGAGTGTATACTGAGTAATGTGTCCCATTAATATCTTTTTGTACATAGATCATATGTGCCCTGACCCCTGCCTCACTAGTTGTCATGCTGCTCACCTTCTCCAAGTACCTGGTCGCTCTGCTCCCCACCTGTGACTCACCTGAGTACCTGGAGAAACTTATCGCTGCTGTTGCTTTAGGTCAGTCTTTTATCTGTTGTCTTGATCGGACCTGCTCTGGTTGGGGGATTCTGGTTAAACTATTACTTTGGGCATCATTAAACATCACTGAAAGTGTGTTTGATCTAAGAATAGCATTCCGATCTATAAGTTATTTAACATTTAATATAACACCCTATTAAAGCCTGAATATAAAATTCTCGCTTTGTCGGTATTTAGATTTCGAAGTCGAAGATCTTGTGCGAACTGGAATATCAGTAGTATATTAGGTCACTTTTGGACCGCAGGCGCAGGCGCAACGGGATGGGGAGCAGGAGCAGGAGCAGGAACAAAGACTATATAGGAAAATACTCCCTGCCTGGGTGAGCCGCAGGTACACCGACATATAGCAAAATACTCACCCATCTGGGTGAGGGTGGGTGAGCAGGTGGCGCAGCCTGGGACAACGAGATATAGGAAAATACTCACCCACCTGGGTGAAGGTGGGTGAGGGTGGGTGAGCAGCCTGGGACTATGAGATATAGTAAAATACTCACCCACCCTAGGGTGGGTGAGCAGGAGGGGGAGTAGGTCAGTAGGTCACCACCGGTGACCTTGTGACGTAATCATTGACCTAGTTACGTAATTTTAATGGGTTTTTTAATTAGTTTTAATGAGTTTTTAAAATTTTAATTAATTTTTGACCTAGTTACGTAATTTTAATGTGTTTTTTAATTAGTTTTAATGAGTTTTTAAAATTTTAATTAGTTTATTATTAACGAGTTACGTAATTTGATTATTTGTTTACTTTTTTAATTGTTTAATTTGTTGTTTACTTGTTGTTTAATTTAATTACTTTGTTTATATTGTGTAATTTTTATTAACGAGTTACGTAATTTGATTATTTGTTTACTTTTTAATTATTTTTATTGACGAGTTACGTAATTTGATTATTTGTTTACTTTTTAATTATTTTTATTTTGTTTATTTTTAATTTAATTTTATTTTATAATTAGTTAAATTATTATTAACTAGTTACGTAATTTGATTTTAATTACTTTTGTTTATTTATTTATTTGATATATTTCTTTTCTTTGTTGTTTAATGTTGTTTATTTATTTGAATGTATGTATGTTTTAAATAAAAGACTAACACTAGCATGTACTAGAACAGTCTTTGTATAGGGACCATTCTCCAACACAACGAACGTTACAAAAATAGAACATCCATTAAAGATAACGATCAGCCACAGCTGTTACGTATCGACCCGCCCGCGAAGTTTTCTTACCGCTGCCCGTTTTAATGGGAATGTATTGATCGCAGCCGCTGGCCCATCACACCTAATTAAATTTTTGTTATGCTTCACCGAGTTTCCCCCGCTCGGTTGACAGATGTGCAACAGCTGTTGTGCGACAGCTGGTGGTGTAATTAGGTTGACCAACCGGACATTACCTTGTTGGTTTTCTAGTACGCGTATGCTACACGTATATACACATTCACACACACACACTAAATTAGAACAAAAGTCTTCTTATATTTTATTTGTTTATTAACGTTTTTCCAATTCATCAAAGGCTTTTAAAATTTCATCCTGTAAACTTAATAGGCGCTCAAAGCAGACGCGACTCATACTAACACCAGAATTTGTAGGAAAATTGGGCAGACGGAGGGGGAGGGAGGGGGATGGAGGGGGAGGGGGAGAGGGGGAGTGGATTTGATTTTTTAATTAGTTTAATTTCAATACATAGTCGCTTATAGTAACATAGGTGAGGGGTGTAAGCAGGCGGGTGACGGTGTGAACAGGTGGGTGAAGGGGGAAATATTAACAAATGTTCAATACATACTCGCTTATAGTAACATGGGTGAGGGGTGTAAGCAGACGGGTGACGGTGTGAACAGGTGGGTGAAAGGTGAAAGGTGGGTGAAGGTGGAGAAGGTGGGTGAAGGGGGAACACGAGTAGGAGTAAAGGATATATAGTAAAAGACTCTACCACCTGAGTGAGGTGGGTGAGGAGGCGGATTTTAATTTTAATTTTTTATTTTATTTTTTCATCATCTATTAACTTTAAGGTTCTATAACTCTATATATTTTAAATACATTTTTTTTTTTTATTCAAACGAGTTTTACTTTTCCTAATGTAAGTACAGGTAAAGAGGGATTTCCTATAGATCTGTAATGAAGTAGGCCTTGTTGACTATGACTAGTTGTCCAGGTGTTGACATGATACACTTTTTTGAGATACACGTACACACACACACACACACACACACACACGCGCGCGCGCGCGCGCGCGCGAAATTCATACTAGGTCGGTAAAGGCGGAGAGAACTTATAGGTATACATTATCATGGCGACAACAAAAGCGATCCTTATTTTATTAACATGAAAGCGTGTTTTTCAAAAAGTGTCACCAGGCCGTTGCCATTTTCACAGCGGGGTTTATTTTAAGTGCACCCTGTGCACGTTTGTTTACATTTTAAACGACGTATCGCGTGTCTTCCCCACATGTCTTCCCTAATAGAGAAACGAGAGGAAAGACAACTGTTCTAAAATTAGAACAGACTTGTTTACAGCCACGAGTATCGTCCCTTGTGAAAAAAATTGCGCGTCAGAATCCTTAACTAAACAGTCAATTTCTTTAACAAGTTAAAAATAATTTAGGAAGACAAGGGTTAACAACATTAGACGCCACCATTTTTGTTTCATGTGACGACAAGGCACAATACACTTTTGTAGTTTATGTCTCAAGTAGAGGGGTGGGATATTTTTTCTTTGTAAGAGTCTTGTAAACAATGGGTAGAGGAGGCGATTACTAAGTAAGAGGGGAGAGAACGTGACTTGCATCGCGATATTTGAAAACATGGCGATGTTTAACCTCAAGCAGATTACCTTCCCATGTTCGCTTTAGTATTACAGTTTTCATCAAACTTCTTTTTGACTTGAACTTCTTTAATTTTTAAGAAAGTTTACTTATACATAAGACGTTATGTCTAATTACAATTTTTTATTTTCACCACTCAATGTATTTTCTTTTTCTATATCTTACATTGTCATCTTAATTTTTGATCACCTTAGTAAAAATTTGCTTAAGATTATAAACTTCGAGTTTTAAAAAACTACAACGTTATAGTACGTCGTGTCAAATGACACACCGTTTAAAATGTCTACATTTAAAGTTCACCAATATAATGACGTAAAAACTAAATATGATATGACGTTAGCATACATATCATACAATCTAATCACTCTAAAGTACAAATCAATAATTTTTAGTGATTAAGGGGCTGGGTGAGGTATTTTTATTCGGGTGCCCAGGGAAGGTTTGGAGTTGGCTAGGGGCACCGTTCAACTAGAGTCTGTGACGTTTTCACCGAGGCAGGGTTCGAAGCTAGACCATACATGTTTTGGAATTGTTAGGGGTCGAGCCTATAGTAGGGTCGGGGGAGTTTTGTTAACACAGAGGGCTGTTTCGAAGTTAGTACATCCATGTTTTAGAATTGTTAGGTAGAGAGTTTATACGAGAGTCGTGGGAGTTTTCACCGAGGTTGGTTTTGAACTCGGACCATGGATGTTTAGGAGTTGGATGCGGCAGAGTTTACACTAGGGACGGAGGTGTTTTGGTTACACCGAGGGTGGTTTCGAAGGTCGTACATGCATCCTTGGAATTGTTAGGGGCCGTCTTCATACTAGGGTCGGTGAAGTTTTCACCGAGGTTGGTTTTGAACTCGGAACATGTGTGTTTTGGAATTGTTGGTAGCCGAGTTCATACTAGGGTCGGTGAAGGTTGGTTTTGAACTCGGAACATGCATGTTTTGGAATCGGTAGGTGTAGAGTCGATACTAGGGTCGGTGAAGTTTTCACCGAGGCAGGTTACCAAGTTGGGACATGCATGTTAAGGAATTGTTGGTAGCCGAGTTCATACTAGGGACGGGGGAGTTTTGTTAACACCGAGGCAGGTTGCAAAGTTGGTACATGCATGTTTAGGAATTGTTGGTAGCCGAGTTCATACTAGTGTCGGTGAAGGTTGGTTTTGAACTCGGAACATGTATGTTTTGGAATCGGTAGGTGTAGAGTCCATACTAGGGTCAGGGGAGTTTTTGTTAACACCGAGGTAGGTTGAAAAGTTGGTACATGCATGTTTAGGAATTGTTGGTAGCCGAGTTCATACTAGTGTCGGTGAAGGTTGGTTTTGAACTCGGAACATGCATGTTTTGAAATTGTTGGTAACCGAGTTCATACTAGGGAATGGGGTGTTTTCACCGAGGCAGGTTACAAAGTTCGTACATGCATCATTGGAATTGTTAGGGAGAGTTAAACTAAGGTCGGTGAAGTTTTCATCGAGGCAGGTTACAAAGTTGGTACATGGATGTTTAGGAATTGTTGGCAGTCGAGTTCATACTAGGGTCGGGGAATTTTGTTAGCACTGAGGCAGGTTGGAAAGTTGGTACATGCATGTTTGGGAATTGTTGGTAGCCGAGTTCATACTAGTGTCGGTGAAGGTTGGTTTTGAACTCGGAACATGTATGTTTTGGAATCGGTAGGTGTAGAGTCCATACAAGGGTCAGGGGAGTTTTTGTTAACACCGAGGTAGGTTGAAAAGTTGGTACATGCATGTTTAGGAATTGTTGGTAGCCGAGTTCATACTAGTGTCGGTGAAGGTTGGTTTTGAACTCGGAACATGCATGTTTTGAAATTGTTGGTAACCGAGTTCATACTAGGGAATGGGGTGTTTTAACCGAGGCAGGTTACAAAGTTCGTACATGCATCATTGGAATTGTTAGGGAGAGTTAAACTAAGGTCGGTGAAGTTTTCACCGAGGCAGGTTACAAAGTTGGTACATGGATGTTTAGGAATTGTTGGCAGTCGAGTTCATACTAGGGTCGGGGAATTTTGTTAGCACTGAGGCAGGTTGGAAAGTTGGTACATGCATGTTTGGGAATTGTTGGTAGCCGAGTTCATACTAGTGTCGGTGAAGTTTGGTTTTGAACTCGGAACATGCATGTTTTGGAATCGGTAGGTGTAGAGTGCATACTAGGGTCGGTGAAGTTTTCACCGAGGGTGGTTTCAAAGTTAGTACAGGCATATTTTGGAAGTGTTAGGGGCCGAGTCTATACTACGGTGGGATGGTTTTTGTTTTCACCGAGGCCGGTTTCAAAGTTGTTACAGGCATGTTTTGGAATCGATTGGTGTGGAGTTTAAACTAGCGTCGGGGGGAGTTTGGGTTTCACCGAGGCGTGTTTTAAAGTTGGTACAGGGATGTTTTTGAAGTGATGAGGGAAGAGTTTAAACTAGCGTCGGGGGAGTTTGGGTTTCACCGAGGGGTGTTTCAATGTTGGTCCAGGGATGTTTTGGAAGTGTTAGGGGCCGAGTCTATACTAGAGTGGGAAGGATTTTGTTTTCACCGAGGCAGGTTTCAAACGGGGGCCATCTCTGTTTCGGAGTTGGTCGGGGGAGCGTTTACACTAGAGTAGGACGGTCTTTGTTTTCAACAAGACAGGTTTCAAAATTGGTACATGGATGTTTCGGAGTTGGATGGGAACGTTGTCACTTGTGACAGTAAACGAAGGGGGATAAATATTTGTCTGTTACTTTGTCCTTTGTCTGTCCAAGTAATAGTGTGGGTAGAGGTACGGTCTGTTTATCAAGCAGGTGTTTAGGGACGGGGGCGAGGGCGGCGGACAAAGTTGTCGATGTAGGTAGGGTGCAAGAGATATTCAACGAGGAGTGGTGTCTACAAGTTATGTATCCCAGTCTGTTGGAGTGGTTTCTAGGGGGTTGTGATATTAGTTGAATAAATATTTGTCTGTAGGATTGTCATACAGCCTTTGTCTCTTAAATGGAATAGGTATAGTGTGGGTAGTAGTACGGTCTGTTTATCTAGCGGTTGGTCTTGAGGTTAGTGTGATGACGCAAGGTTGGATGGGAGAAGGGGAAAGGGGTTGCGGGCAAAGGGAAGGGGAAGGGCGAATAGCGATAAAAATACCTCACCCAGCCCCTTAATCAATAAAAATTATTGATTTGTACTTTAGAGTGATTAGATTGTATGATATGTATGCTAACGTCATATCATATTTAGTTTTTACGTCATTATATTGGTGAACTTTAAATGTAGACATTTTAAACGGTGTGTCATTTGACACGACGCACTATAACGTTGTAGTTTTTTAAAACTCGAAGTTTATAATCTTAAGCAAATTTTTACTAAGGTGATCAAAAATTAAGATGACAATGTAAGATATAGAAAAAGAAAATACATTGAGTGGTGAAAATAAAAAATTGTAATTAGACATAACGTCTTATGTATAAGTAAACTTTCTTAAAAATTAAAGAAGTTCAAGTCAAAAAGAAGTTTGATGAAAACTGTAATACTAAAGCGAACATGGGAAGGTAATCTGCTTGAGGTTAAACATCGCCATGTTTTCAAATATCGCGATGCAAGTCACGTTCTCTCCCCTCTTACTTAGTAATCGCCTCCTCTACCCATTGTTTACAAGACTCTTACAAAGAAAAAATATCCCACCCCTCTACTTGAGACATAAACTACAAAAGTGTATTGTGCCTTGTCGTCACATGAAACAAAAATGGTGGCGTCTAATGTTGTTAACCCTTGTCTTCCTAAATTATTTTTAACTTGTTAAAGAAATTGACTGTTTAGTTAAGGATTCTGACGCGCAATTTTTTTCACAAGGGACGATACTCGTGGCTGTAAACAAGTCTGTTCTAATTTTAGAACAGTTGTCTTTCCTCTCGTTTCTCTATTAGGGAAGACATGTGGGGAAGACACGCGATACGTCGTTTAAAATGTAAACAAACGTGCACAGGGTGCACTTAAAATAAACCCCGCTGTGAAAATGGCAACGGCCTGGTGACACTTTTTGGAAAACACGCTTTCATGTTAATAAAATAAGAGTCGCTTTTGTTGTCGCCATGATAATGTATACCTATAAGTTCTCTCCGCCTTTACCGACCTAGTATGAATTTCGCGCGCGCGCGCGTGTGTGTGTGTGTGTGTGTGTGTGTGTGTGTGTGTGTACGTGTATCTCAAAAAAGTGTATCATGTCAACACCTGGACAACTAGTCATAGTCAACAAGGCCTACTTCATTACAGATCTATAGGAAATCCCTCTTTACCTGTACTTACATTAGGAAAAGTAAAACTCGTTTGAATAAAAAAAAAATGTATTTAAAATATATAGAGTTATAGAACCTTAAAGTTAATAGATGATGAAAAAATAAAATAAAAAATTAAAATTAAAATCCGCCTCCTCACCCACCTCACTCAGGTGGTAGAGTCTTTTACTATATATCCTTTACTCCTACTCGTGTTCCCCCTTCACCCACCTTCTCCACCTTCACCCACCTTTCACCTTTCACCCACCTGTTCACACCGTCACCCGTCTGCTTACACCCCTCACCCATGTTACTATAAGCGAGTATGTATTGAACATTTGTTAATATTTCCCCCTTCACCCACCTGTTCACACCGTCACCCGCCTGCTTACACCCCTCACCTATGTTACTATAAGCGACTATGTATTGAAATTAAACTAATTAAAAAATCAAATCCACTCCCCCTCTCCCCCTCCCCCTCCATCCCCCTCCCTCCCCCTCCGTCTGCCCAATTTTCCTACAAATTCTGGTGTTAGTATGAGTCGCGTCTGCTTTGAGCGCCTATTAAGTTTACAGGATGAAATTTTAAAAGCCTTTGATGAATTGGAAAAACGTTAATAAACAAATAAAATATAAGAAGACTTTTGTTCTAATTTAGTGTGTGTGTGTGAATGTGTATATACGTGTAGCATACGCGTACTAGAAAACCAACAAGGTAATGTCCGGTTGGTCAACCTAATTACACCACCAGCTGTCGCACAACAGCTGTTGCACATCTGTCAACCGAGCGGGGGAAACTCGGTGAAGCATAACAAAAATTTAATTAGGTGTGATGGGCCAGCGGCTGCGATCAATACATTCCCATTAAAACGGGCAGCGGTAAGAAAACTTCGCGGGCGGGTCGATACGTAACAGCTGTGGCTGATCGTTATCTTTAATGGATGTTCTATTTTTGTAACGTTCGTTGTGTTGGAGAATGGTCCCTATACAAAGACTGTTCTAGTACATGCTAGTGTTAGTCTTTTATTTAAAACATACATACATTCAAATAAATAAACAACATTAAACAACAAAGAAAAGAAATATATCAAATAAATAAATAAACAAAAGTAATTAAAATCAAATTACGTAACTAGTTAATAATAATTTAACTAATTATAAAATAAAATTAAATTAAAAATAAACAAAATAAAAATAATTAAAAAGTAAACAAATAATCAAATTACGTAACTCGTCAATAAAAATAATTAAAAAGTAAACAAATAATCAAATTACGTAACTCGTTAATAAAAATTACACAATATAAACAAAGTAATTAAATTAAACAACAAGTAAACAACAAATTAAACAATTAAAAAAGTAAACAAATAATCAAATTACGTAACTCGTTAATAATAAACTAATTAAAATTTTAAAAACTCATTAAAACTAATTAAAAAACACATTAAAATTACGTAACTAGGTCAAAAATTAATTAAAATTTTAAAAACTCATTAAAACTAATTAAAAAACCCATTAAAATTACGTAACTAGGTCAATGATTACGTCACAAGGTCACCGGTGGTGACCTACTGACCTACTCCCCCTCCTGCTCACCCACCCTAGGGTGGGTGAGTATTTTACTATATCTCATTGTCCCAGGCTGCTCACCCACCCTCACCCACCTTCACCCAGGTGGGTGAGTATTTTCCTATATCTCGTTGTCCCAGGCTGCGCCACCTGCTCACCCACCCTCACCCAGATGGGTGAGTATTTTGCTATATGTCGGTGTACCTCCTGCTCCCCCAGGGAGTATTTTACTATATCTCATTGTCCCAGGCTGCGGCAGGCTGCGCCTGGTGGGTGAGTATTTTGCTATATGTCATTGTACCTGCGGCTCACCCAGGCAGGGAGTATTTTCCTATATAGTCTTTGTTCCTGCTCCTGCTCCTGCTCCTGCTCCCCATCCCGTTGCGCCTGCGCCTGCGGTCCAAAAGTGACCTAATATACTACTAATATCTTCAATTCATCACCCTAGTAACATAAAAAAGATTTGGTTAACAAGAAAAATCATCGGTTGCTTTAAACAGAAATGTAAACAACGGGTATGCAACTATCATAGCCACAGCGCTTCTGAACATAGCCTTAACTTGAAGATAATTGCATCACTTGTATATATACAATGTAATTAATGATTTATCTCAATAACAGCAAAAGAAGATGACTGAAAAACACCGTTGTGTTACGGCAAAGATATCTACTTTCCCCTGCTCTTTAATATCTTCCTAAAAAAACAGAAAGCTTTTTAGGGAACCACAAGAAGAAAGCATCGGCCGCACGACTCTAAATTAGAATTTCTTATTAAAGACACCAATTTTTATTATGCCGGAGATTTTAGGTCTCTGAGCAGTCACTCAATGTACTTATATACCCCTCCCCCCCCCCCCCCCCACCCATTCGCACTTTCTCTTTCATGTCCTTCTCGATGAGAACTTCCTGCAACAAATTTATTACCATCACGTATATGAATATCCGTTGTCCGGGTTTTCACTTTACTTAGACAGAGTTTAAAATACAGTACAATATGGTCATTTACAACATTTTTAACAAAATATCGTAAGAAATCTAAACTTTAACGGGTGTAGAAATATTGCAAATGTAAATCTGGTTACTTTCAAATTTTCTGTTAACTTTGTGAGTTTGATCTGGCGCACATCGTATAGTTACCAACTACGGTAAAGCATTTGTTATGAACTTGAGTGTGTAACACTAGTAACGCTGTTCGTGTTTCCATAGTATTGCTGATATTAGTCAACGGCTACAGCACGAGACTAGCATCCCACGTGACTGTGCTGACGACGGTGTGTAAAGTGGCGACACTTCTGATCATCATTGTTGGTGGCGTCGTGGTCATGTGTCAAGGTAGGGCCAGGTGTCCAGCTGTCTGTACTATGACCATCTGTGTCAATCTAGGTCCAGGTGTCCGTACTATGACCATCTGTGTTAAGGTAGGTCCAGGTGTCCGTACTATGACCATCTGTGTCAAGGTAGGTCCAGGTGTCCGTACTATGACCATCTGTGTTAAGGTAGGTCCAGGTGTCCGTACTATGACCATCTGTGTTAAGGTAGGTCCAGGTGTCCGTACTATGACCATCTGTGTCAAGGTAGGTCCAGGTGTCCGTACTATGACCATCTGTGTTAAGGTAGGTCCAGGTGTCTGTGCTATGCCCTCGTTTGGTTTCTCACCGTTCAACATATTACAGTGATGTTTTGTTTATGTTTCCATATGCAAAGCAAAAGCACCCTCTATTCTTCCTGTTAAAATCCCTCAAAAAAACTTTTTTTTAATTCGCCTAAACACTCTTTTTTCGGCACACGTTGGTTTGGTCACCGTCCTTGTAAACTTTATGTATAGGTTACATATAAGCGTACGTGTATATGTTTGTGGAGAGTTGGCTCGAACTTGATGCTCTCAAAACGTGATTCTGTCTTTTTTCTTTGTCTAAAAGAACCAAAAGAAATCTAACATTTGTGAGATTTTTGTATCATGTTACCGCAGCTCCCTGTTAACCAACATCCCCTCTGTAAGAGCCTCGACTAACCCTGATTTTACTAACCCAACAGGCACCACGAGTGAGCTGCACACCGCCTTTGATGACACATCCACTGATCCCTCGTCTCTGGCCATGGCACTGTACAGCGCTCTGTGGGCGACCAGCGGAGGGTGGGTCAGTTTTTTTTTTCACTTTTTATTCTGTTGTTTTTTTTAACACTTTAAAAAGACATTTAGGATGGGTTCTTAAACTTGGGACATTGGCTTTTATTCGGGATATGTTAATACATATGTCTGTGTGTGTGTACGTGTATGTGTATGTATGTGTGTGTGAGAGTCCGAATGTGTGTGTGTGCGTGCGTGCGTGCGTGTGTGTGTGTGTGCGTGAGTGTCGAAGTTGAAGGTGATTATTATATTTTGAGCAAGTTATAGAATTTGGAAGGGTTCTAAAATTTCGGATGTTTGATCTAATAAAGGAACTAATTTAAAATATATTTATATTTGAGCTGATCTGACTTGCAGGGAAACTCTCAACATGCTGGTGGAGGAGGTCAAGAAACCGTCAAGGTAAATACAACGGTAAAACTGCAACTTGTTCTGTTAAACTTGTATGGCCAACCACCATCTACAACGGTAAAACTGCAACTTGTTCTGTTAAACTTGTATGGCCAACCACCATCTACAACGGTAAAACTGCAACTTGTTCTGTTAAACTTGTATGGCCAACCACCATCTACAACGGTAAAACTGCAACTTGTTCTGTTAAACTTGTATGGCCAACCACCATCTACAACGGTAAAACTGCAACTTGTTCTGTTAAACTTGTATGGCCAACCACAATCTACAACGGTAAAACTGCAACTTGTTCTGTTAAACTTGTATGGACAACCACAATCTACAACGGTAAAACTGCAACTTGTTCTGTTAAACTTGTATGGCCAACCACCATCTACAACGGTAAAACTGCAACTTGTTCTGTTAAACTTGTATGGCCAACCACCATCTACAACGGTAAAACTGCAACTTGTTCTGTTAAACTTGTATGGCCAACCACCATCTACAACGGTAAAACTGCAACTTGTTCTGTTAAACTTGTATGGCCAACCACCATCTACAACGGTAAAACTGCAACTTGTTCTGTTAAACTTGTATGGCCAACCACAATCTACAACGGTAAAACTGCAACTCGTTCTGTTCAGTTTGTATTGCCAACCACCATATACAAAAGTAAAACAACAACTCGTTCTGTTAGACCTGTATGGCCAACCACCATCTACTAAAACTAGTAATTGAAACAGAAATTTAAGTTGGTTATTAAAGATATAATAATTAAAACATTTCTCAGACTTTAATATCAGTTCAATAGTGATTTTAACAAATATTGTGTCCGTTTTATTTTACCTCGTTTATAACTATAATCATTATACTAACTGAAGACAACGAAAGCGATCACTAAAACAAGATATTGTTTTGCACAAGTTGAATTAGAGCCATGAAAAGCACCCTCAGCAGCTTATCTAACTCTTCTTATCCCAACATCTCATCTCTTCCAGAAACGTTCCTTTGGCCGCCATATTGGGCATCCTTGTGGTCATCGTGGTCTACACACTGACCAACGTCTCCTATCTGGCCGTCATGACCAAAGATGAAATGTTAAATGCCCAGGCTGTCGCTGTGGTACTTTACAATTTCTAGTAGGCATATTTTAAACTGCTAATAAGAATTTAACTCCACTTTGTTTTCGTAATACTAACAGACAGTTCTCCCTCTGTAGGTTTTCGGTGATCGAGTTCTCGGCCCTGCGGCTATAATTATTCCCCTTGCGGTGATGTTGGCAACCTTGGGGTCGGCAAACAACGTCATTCTAGGCGGCAACAGGTTACGTGTTGAAGTCAATTAATCTGAACAGAAATTTGTATTCTCTTCTATCTCCCATTATATGGCCAGTATTTGATACATTTATAAGAAATCGACACAAAACTAGTATAGATTCTAACGAAATAACATAACTAGATTACTGCTATCATATACTAATTATTCTTTAAATTTTGTTTACAAACTAAAACAGTACCAAAGTTACACGTAAATAGAATAAAATACATCTTCCGGTTACCGAAAATCATTCAAAATCTGAAAAAATTAATAAGTTTCTCTGTCAGTTAGGCAAAGAGAGTATAGTTTGGCTGTTTCTAAGATCACAGCATATGTAGTGATAGAGTGTTCAAATGGATACCCAGCCGCTGTTAATATTTTACATTTAGTGTGAGTTAGTCCAAAAAAAATTTTTTTTTTAACGTTTTTTTTTTCCAGGTTGATTTACACCGCTGCCCGGGACAAAAACTTCCCAGAATTTTTCAGCTACATCCAGATCCATCAGCTGACGCCACTCTCGGCCATGACGCTGACGGTAAGGAAACTCGACTCGTCTAAAACTTACCTTATGTGTGCAGATCATTGGGGGGGGGGGGGCATTCAGCTCCTATTGTAGATCTTTGTTGTAAGCCAACACTTTTGCAATCTTTGAAACCAGTAAATGAGCTGTATACCTATACATATATCTTTTTTATAAAAACAATGTAATAACTCTCAGAGACAGTGTGATAATTTGTGATGTGTTTTTTTCACTCAGGCAGCCCTGGCTCTGATCTACCTGGCTCCATCAGACGTTGGCTCTCTCATCAACTACCTGGGGTTCTTAGTTTCGTTCTTCAATGCCTGCGTGTATCTGGCCATGCTGAGGTTCAGGCTGCACACGATGAAGAATGTGCGGGGGACTGTACGGGTGAGTTGGAGGGATAGAAACTTTTGTAGATGACAGAGGCGCTGACATTTGCATGTCTCGCAACAGATGTGACAGTTCAAAATATTATTTATGTTAACGCTTTAACGCAAGTTATAAATATTAAGTTTGTCATGTTTAAAAAAAATTAAATGGTAAATTTCTTAAACTGTGGGCTATTTTTTATGTTGGAGTTAATGTGGGAAAAATGTATTCTATACTAAGGGTTACTAGTGATAGCTTTCATTATATTTATTATCTGTGGCAAAATGTGTAAGAGATTTTAACATAATTTTACTAAAGAAAGCAGCTTTTTAAATGTGCATTTAAAAGATTAATATTATAAAGTTGTTTGATTTAAGTTTTATTTTCTCTTTTTTCAGTATTACGAATTAACGAAACTAAAATAGAATGTTGATATTATATTGGGTTTTTTTTTAGTATTTTGTTTTGCATTCCGTTGTTATTAAGGAAAACGGTACCACAGTCTAAAACTACCTGCTATAACCCCGATCTGTAGTCTGTGGTCGCTGGGAACCATTGATCATCCCTATCCTTATGTCACCAGGTACAACTGGTCATCCCTATCCTAATGTCATCCCTATCCTTATGTCATCCCTATCCTTATGTCGCCAGGTACCACTGGTCATGCTTATCCTTATGTCACCAGGTACCACTGGTCATCCCTATCCTTATGTCATCCCTATCCTTATGTCACCAGGTACCACTGACCATCCCTATCCTTATGTCATCCCTATCCTTATGTCACCAGGAACCATTGATCATCCCTATCCTTATGTCACCAGGTACAACTGGTCATCCCTATCCTAATGTCATCCCTATCCTTATGTCACCAGGTACCACTGGTCATCCCTATCCTAATGTCATCCCTATCCTTATGTCACCAGGTACCACTGGTCATCCCTATCCTAATGTCATCCCTATCCTTATATCATTAGGTACCACTGCTCATCCCTATCCTTATGTCACCAGGTGCCACTTGTCATCCCTATCCTTATGTCACCAGGTACCACTGGTCATCCCTATCCTAATGCTACTGACCAACCTGTACCTGTTCATCTCGCCACTGGCCATCAACCCCAAGCTGGAGTACGTCTATGTGGCGGCGGGCGGGCTGGGCGTGGGGGCGGCCCTCTACATACCATTCATACATTTACGTTTATCTTTTCCGTTTTACGGTATGTCATGTGCGTCTCTGTATGGTTGTTAATTGTAAAACGACATAATATTTCACAAACATATTTCAGAAAAAAATACCTTTTTAAAATACCTCAGACAAAAGATTTATCTAAAAGTGTATTTCCCTTAAACAGCAACACATTTTTAATTTTTTAAAAATAACGTTGCCATGGTTACTAATATTTGCAAATGTCCTCTATTCCAGATCAACTTGCCAGATACGGTCAGCTGTTGTTTTGTGTTTGTCCACCAGCAAAGTACATTGAATAAATTATTTTTTACCCACTTGTGTCGTCTACTGCTTGCTACTTACGGATTATTAATTTTGGACTTCGTTTGTTTCATCTTTCATCCCCATTCGTGCTCAAAACACAGATGAAATAGAGTTAATATGTTTCAATTGCCTCGGCATACAACGGGATAGACGCCTTTGTTTGCCTAACTTTAGTAAGGCACACATCACAACTAAGTTGACTCAGGGGAGTTCTACAGGCTTGACTCTGGGATTCGAACTCGGGACTTTTGGGCAAGCAGTAGTAAGCTCTACCATTCGACCACACTCTCTTCGTAGGTTTAGATTATAATTAAACAACATATAATTATATGGGAATAGTTTCTGAGAATTGTCACTTAAACGTCAGAAATTAAATATTGTAAGATATTGGACGAAGGCTATTGGACATTTTATCTGACACTTAACAACGTAAACGGAATTTCTCTTTTGAAATGGAAGCTAGAAAACAAGTATCTAATTTTGCGTCAATTTTTAAAACGCTTGCCAAGACTTAACTTAACTGCTTAAAGATCTATACGAGAATTGTAATTCCTACTTGATAGATCGTCAGTTCTGGGACATAGTTTCACACCCAGACGTCAAGACGAACTTGGGTACCCGTTTTAAGCATTCTACCATAAACCGTCATCACACACCTACCAGGTCAACGCACGACGTAAAAATGTACCACTACACAAACATTCTCAAATCATAACACTCTTCATTCTTTTAAAATACTCTACTTTTTGCCTTGGCAATATTTTGTGAACTTAACCTACATTAAGAGCAACTTATCACTTCGTCTTCACCGGAAACACTCTTAACTTTGACAGCTGGAGAAAAACATTCTCCCGCTAAAATTATTGTGTCAATGGTGTCGTCTGCTACTTCAAACCCTATCCAAATAACCTTGTCCCCCATCAGGCAGAGATAAGCTGCTGTGTTTCACACAGCTGTTGTGTTACACATCTGACACACAGCACAATAGATGTGTGTAGTACAGCACTACAGATGTGTGTAGTACAGCACAACATATGTGTTGAACACATTATTACAACACTACTGCACTAAACACAACACACAATGGACACGAAACATGTAAGTCTGTTTAATTTTAAAGCTGGTATAGAAGTAGATTGTTTACGGTATATATTCATTTGTTTGTGGTTAAATTATATTTTTTTGGAGTGAAGATTTAGATAAAACCTTAAGAAAAAAAAATGAAATTAAATTAATAAAACCAATTTACCTAAACCTGATTACTAATGGAACTTAACGAAACTATAGCACTTAGTGTTAAGAGCATCTGAAAATATTACAGTTAAGAAAGAATAAAACGTTTTTAAAGCTTACAATGAAATCGTATGATAATTTAGGCTAATAATAACGTAAAATATTATTTTTTACTAGATTATACAATATTTCAAAGTTCATAACAAAACTACAGGAGAGTTTGTGAAAAAATAAATGTGAGAATCATTCAACTCTAGTAAACTTTCGATCTATACTGGTCAAATAAATTTCAGTCATTTTTTTTAAAGATTTTTTTTTTAAATAATTTTTTTTCCAAATAACAATTATCAGTTTAGTCATTTTACTTAATATTTTTAGAGGAGGAAGTCAAGCACTGAGGTGGGGGTAGAGAAGGTGGAACTGAAACGACAGATGGGTCTGGTGGTCGCTTCGTCCATCGTGGTGGGCTCCATCATCGGTAGGTCACGTGATCAGATCTGATCATATTTTTTAAACTGCTGGTTAATGACAGGTAACAGACACAATATATGGGTCTAGACTACAACCAGTTAATATATGCTTCACTTTATTAATGTACAAGTAGACATTGTGAATATAATATAGTATATAAAAAAAATATTTACAATATCAACTAAAATTAAAAGACGTTAATAAAATATTTTAAAAATACCCCTATTTCATAGAACTGATACACGTTAAAGTATCGACATAATTACGTAAATATAAATATTATAAATTGGTGTACTGTGTATCGCTTAAAAATATTTATCAGTGTGTGGACACCTAGATACTTGTAAGGATGTTTCACAACTGAAGTGGAGAGGGGGGGGGGGGAGAATGAATAATCGACTTGTTAAACATTTAAAGCTCTAATTTTCAAATGTCACCAAATCAACGGCTTTTATACATTGACTAGGCATGCTGCCCAGCTTCGCTTAGGCTTTCGAAAACATTGAGAATTTGAATGCTTAATTAATTCGCCCGAGGGTCGGTCTACGACCTCAGGAGTTATGAAGAGGTTCCTACGTGGACATTTATAGCTCATATCAGGCGCCGGTCAGTCGAGGTCAGTTTTGACCCCCTCATCGTAGACTTTTCGGCCAACCGGCCCCTGTGTTCTGTCGCTCCAAGGAAAGATCCTGCCAAATTTGAAGCGCCTGAGGCGCCGGGAAGTTCCATATCGGGCACCCGACAACTTTGCTTTATATATTATAGAGATTAGCAAATTGCATAGATAAACAAAGATTTCAATAAATTAATTAAGGCCTGAAATACTTTAGTATAGAAATGTATTATTTGAATAGATTCTAGATCTAGGTAGGGTCTACATCTGTGTAAGTCTAGTTTTTCCGTAGATCTAGATCATCTAGAATATCTAGATCTAGATGATCTAGAATATCTAGATCTAGAATATCTAGATCTAAAATCCTAATAGAATTTTTTTAAGTTTAGCCCGAGCAAAATTGTATTGTATAAATTTTATAGCGTATGTAGATCTAAATCAAATTTGAATGAAATAGTTCATTTCTTTTTATTCAAAACACGGCAGATGACGTAATTAGTTAATGTATAAACATTAGTGACGTCACTGTTTAATGCATTCTTTTTCACAACTATAAATGCTTTTCCTGTTGCATAATTAAAACTGTTTCTCTACATTCGAATACGCATTTATTTTTTATTTTTCTTCTTTAAATAAAATTGTGGTTATACATTTAAAACATCTAACATATTATTTTCAACAAAAGTCCGTATAAAGATATATCGCTGCCGATTCTGACGTGATATCCGGCGAAAATATTTTGCGGACAGACAGAGAGAGAGAGAGAGAGAGAGAGAGAGAGAGAGAGAGAGAGGGAGAGAGAGAGAAGTGCGCACATGGGCTATTATATATTAGGATTTTTTTTTTAATTTAAAGTTGTTCTAGCCCTGGAAAAAAATCACATCGGACGGAATCTTATAGCTTTTTTATCACCCGGCACTGAACGGGCCCACAAGCTAGTACAACACATGATAATACTACCATTTATAAAATTAATACAACATAATATAATACTACCATCCATAATGATAGTAAAACTTATTGTAATACTACCATCCTTAACGCTTCTAAGGCATAACTATGCTAGGTCGTGTAAAAACAATATGACGATATAAATCGAGGACAAACCTGGTTGGGTTTTGACCCACTATCTTAAGTCGTAAATTTTGTAATGTCTCAACTCTTCTACACCCAGGTTCTGGTATCTTTATCTCACCTAAAGGCGTGCTGGCAGCGTCAGGCTCTGTGGGTCTGTGTTTGTTAGTCTGGGTGGTGGCTGGAGTCATCGCCCTTGGCAGTAAGTTATCTCCCCCATTCATGTAATTTACGATTATATTCTCAAAAAACTGAACTATAAAAATTGCGATCATTATAATAGAATCTACAGGCTATTTCGTATATCGTTCTCCAAGAGAATATTTCTATATTGCTTTATTTTAATTTTCTGTGCATCATTTGCTGATTTGTCCAGGTGCACTGTGTTACGCTGAACTCGGCTCTACCATCGGCAAATCTGGCGGAGGATACACATATCTTCGTATGGGCTTGGGAAACCCTCTGGCCTTTGTCTACGCTTTAAATGTGATTATCATTCAAATTCATCTTTTTTTCTACCTTAAACATACAATTATTTTACTTAATGATTCATTTTTATAGTGCTATTACGCTGCATATTCAATGGTCTAAATCTTGATCAGACCTTGTCGTATTTCTTCTACAGATTATATGTGTCGTGACCCCCGCCTCACTGGTCGTCATGTTGCTCACCTTCTCCAAGTACCTGGTCACCCTGTTCCCCACCTGTGACTCACCTGAGTACCTGGAGAAACTCATCGCTGCCGTCGCTTTAGGTCAGTCTGAAAACAACAGCAATAAATGGATTTATTTTGAGCCTTTGATATCGTAGGGTGTTATGACTTTTATACTCCACGAGGAAATTTTCATACTTGTAACAACTCGTACTTTGTTGAAATGACAATACGGTCGTTATTGTGGGTTCTTTCTTTCAGGAACACGATCAACAGTGCTTTTTAACTTTAAATTTTATTTACAATAATCCATAGTAGAAAAGACGACTATCATATTACAGTCTAGAAACAAATTGACGTGGTGACATCTTACTACACAGTCACAGGCAGGCATTCTCGTTCACCTTGCGCTCCCCCTTTTATACACAACTTTCTCTCCCCTTACGTCCATGAGCGATCTCGCAAAAGCATAAAAAAAACCATGACGAGTCGCTTAGACAGACCTTCCGTTGGCCAGGTACTCTACATTCATGCAACATCGTGTAAGACACAATATAATAAGAATACCCAATAATACAGTCTGTGACAATCAAAAACATGGTAATAATAGTATAGATAAATACCTCACAGCTACAAAATATCTGTATTTTCTAATTCAATATAATATCTTTCAGGAAGAAAAAAATGGAAGATGCTTAAAAAAAAATGTTCCACTGCACATTGGTTAAATCTATCTTAAAATATTGACTAAAACAAAATGATTTCATTCAAATGATAATAAACTGCAACCAAATCTTTTCTATGATAAATTACTAAACAGGAGGTGTGTGTTAATGATAAGTATCGAGAGCAATAATTGAGTAAAGATAAAAAATTCAACCCTTTTATGGATTGGATATGGAATTCATGTTTTAGTCTTTTCGCTTTCTATTATTCTTCGATAAATTATCTAGTGCACGTATTACATCTGATAAACTAAAATATGTATGTGTTTCAACTTAAAACGACATCAACAAAATACTGAACCTGTTTCCATAGTAATGCTGATAGCGGTCAACGGCTACAGTACGAAGTTAGCATCCCACGTGACTGTGCTGACGACGGTGTGTAAAGTGGCGACACTTCTGATCATCATTGTTGGTGGCGTCGTGGTCATGTGTCAAGGTAGGGCCAGGTGTCCAGGTGTCCGTACTATGACCATCTGTGTCAATCTAGGGCCAGGTGTCCGTACTATGGCCATCTGTGTCAAGGTAGGGCCAGGTGTCCGTACTATGGCCATCTGTGTCAAGGTAGGGCCAGGTGTCCAGGTGTCCGTACTATGACCATCTGTGTCAATCTAGGGCCAGGTGTCCAAGTGTCTGTACTATGTCCATCTGTGTCAAGGTAGGGCGAGGTGTCTGTACTATGTCCTCGTTTGTTTGTTTACTTAAAGTTTTCACAGAGGCGTTCTTTTCCAGATCCGGTAGGTAGGAGATTTAAAAACACGCTCTATCACACATACACCTAGATATTATATATATATATATATATATATATATATATATATATATATATATATATATATATATATATAGAGAGAGAGAGAGAGAGAGAGAGAGAGAGAGAGAGAGAGAGAGAATGAGAGAGAGAATGAGAGAGGTGATTAGGAGTTAAATTGCAAGGCTAAAAGCAGAACTTGGCTTGTTTTAAAAGTATTTATCACCTAAAACATTTTTAGTCATTTGAAAAACAAAATACTAAATGTTATAATACGGTATATGTTACAATGATTTCCATGATGCTAGTGTCTATGTTTGTGGATGTAGCTGGTCGAGTGTCTAGATTCCTGAAGAGGTATATATGTCTTTGTCCTTGCTAATGTTCCTTCTTAACATGTTAAACTAACTGCTTATTATCCACAACCCTCTCTGTGAGACCCTCGGTTAACCCTGATTTCATTGACCCAACAGGCACCACGAGTGAGCTGGACACAGGATTCTCTGGAACCTCCAATGAACCCACGTCTTTGGCTATGGCACTGTACAGTGCTCTATGGGCAACTAGTGGAGGGTGTGTCTTTTTTAAGATTTTTTTTTGGTAGTTTTCGTACAATGTCTATAATATTTTGGGAGACGTTCATGACATTTGCATATCTTTAGGGTGTGTTAAAATATGGGAGAGCGTTGGCTCTGAAAACGTGAAAATTTTATTAAAATTTGAATAAGATATCTTCTGTACTTTCAGCATTGCTTTGAAAGGTTGTTTTTAAGTTGATGTTTTGTCTAACAGAGAAAATCTGAACATGCTGGTGGAGGAGGTTAAGAACCCGTCCAGGTAACGAACATCACACACTTACTATAGAGCTTCCCTGGTCACGTCAGTTAAACTTTAGCTAACATCAACTAAGACAAGCGTTGACAGGTCGAGATGTCAAATAAATATGTTTTTGTTGTTAAAGTCTACTATAACCCTATTCATTGTTGCGACAGTGTGAGGTTGGAATCACTTGGTTTACTGTAATGCGAGAATATCAGACACTAAAGGCAGTCATTCTAACATTAAACATTTAGTCGACACAGGTCCCAATAAATTGACAAAGTTTTCTGTTCTTGTAATTACTCTGTTACTAGACTGTTACTAGGTTCTGATTATAACCGCCATCTACATGAACGCCTCACGAATCACTCTCCCGACTCAGAATAGCCAAAAACCTTGCTTTAAACAAAATCCTGCTCATTCCTTTACCGTACTTATGACCCTAATTGATATACTAACTTACGACCCAGAAGTCTATAATGATAGACCTAAAACTCAATACACTATTCTCATCTTTATGTTGTTACCACAACCAGGCAAATGTTCACGTTTAATTAACCATTAACAAGTTATCTAAATAAGAACTCATTTAACCGTTTCTCCCATTTCTTCCAGGAACATCCCCCGGGCCGCCATATTGGGCATCCTTGTGGTCATCGTGGTCTACACACTGACCAACGTCTCCTATCTGGCCGTCATGACCAAAGATGAAATGTTAAATGCCCAGGCAGTCGCTGTGGTACCTTCATGCTATTTATAGTTAAGTTATTTTTAACTGTTACCGATATTTTATGTAGCTAAGTTTATTTTCATTGTGTCCTTCAATAAAAGAATGTTGCTGTTATAGGTATTCGGGGATAGAGTTCTCGGTCCTGCTGCCATGATTATTCCCCTTGCGGTGTTGGTGGCAACTTTAGGGTCTGCAAACAACGGCATCCTTAGCAGCAACAGGTTACATCTTCTAGTCAATTCATCCTTACATGTCTGATTCATTTTGTCTTTGTATTTAAACATAGTGATTGTTTTTGTCTTTTTATCTGGTTAGTGTTTTTAATAACCTTTTAATCTGATCCGTCTGAAATAAAACATCACGCTCTTAATTTATTGTTATTTGTATTGATAAATATGTTTTTGCTAATATTTAGTGCGTAATTTTGATCGATTCTTTGCCATTAACTATTTTTGCTTTATTTTAATTTAGAAAACATTCTTATTTTGGAAAGATTCATTCTCTGATTTCAATAAAAGATTAATTGTAAAATAACTCCTGGTATTCACACAAATCTTATCTTTTGATTAACTTTAGTCAGCAAGCAAAGTTGTATATTTCTCCAGGTTGATTTACACCGCTGCCCGGGACAAAAACTTCCCAGAATTTTTCAGCTACATCCAGATCCATCAGCTGACGCCACTCTCGGCCATGACGCTGACGGTAAGGAAACTAGACTCTACGCTCGTCTAAAGTTTACCTTATGTGTGCAGATCACTCCACCATTCTCTAATACTCGTATACTTTTAAAAACAAGAGACTATGTTCATGATATTGAAATGCCAACATCAGTAGCCCTCATCCCTTGTTAAAGAAGCTTGTTTTTTCTTATCTTATTGAAATAGATGTGTGTGGATAAAGGTATTCTCCTACGTAGAGTAATTTTATTTCTATAGTCTAGTATATGTTTTTAAGTGGTTTAAACGCATACGATTTTCTATTTGTAGTATTTGACATTTTCGAGCATTCAAAATATATTTTCTCAATTTATAAATCTAGCTGGAGGTGATTATTTTAAAAATGTGTCTCACGCACATTATCTTTATGTTATGTAAGATTGTATTGTGATAATTCTACGGGGGTGGCTATTTACTCATATATACTTTTAATACGTCTAAATAGAAAGGATAGTTTTTTAATCTCCATGTATTTATATATTTTTGTTTAATATAAATATTTCTGCTTCCTCGCATCCAACCATAAATTTCACAACAGCCGCTCTGGTAACCCACATGTAGACCTCAGTTACCACCCAGGGCATTAGCATACCTTGAAACTGATATTTGCACCCATGATAATCTAATGGAATAATTGTGAAAATTAACCAAGTATTTATATGTGTAGATCTACCTATAATATTCGTATGTGATAACATTGAAAAGTAACTGAGTAGATTTTGACCTGGACCTCACTCAGTCAGCCCTGGCTCTGATCTACCTGGCTCCATCAGACGTTGGCTCTCTCATCAACTACCTGGGATTCTTGATCTCGTTCTTTGAAGCCTGCGTGTTCCTGTCTATGCTGAGGTTTAGGCTGCAGACGATGAAGCACGTGCGAGGACCTGTACGGGTGAGTGAGTAAAATAATATAAGTGCGGCTTAGATGGGTGCTGATTCTGCAAGACATCCCAAATGTTATGACGGTGAGCATATATTTATGTCAACCAAGAGAAAAACTCACATGCTTTTCTAGGCGGTTAATGAAATATTTTATCTACATCTAAAAAAAACTAAAATTTAGATTGTCTAAGGAATACTTCAATAAACATTGTTGAACATACATAAAAAATTAAATTAATAAACGCTCATTTGAAAAAAAGAGTACGACATTAAACTAAAAACGCTTTCCAATTTAAGGGTAAACTATTGGGATATAAAAACGTTTGGATAAGATTTTATGAGAAAATAACTCTTCAGCTAACAACACACGAAGCCTATTTGTTATTTAGTAGTTTAGACAAAATCAAATTGTAATGGCAAGTATATATTTAAGTTTGAAAAAGAAACACTACATATTTATTCTGATCATTCTGTTGTGCATAATTATACCAAAAATCCAAAAATTAAACCCACCCCTTTACAAACACACACACACACATCCCTCTACTAAATGACGTTAATGTTTCCCTTAATGATTCACGTGACGACGAGAATAATCTCCCCTTTATCGTCGTTAAGGGGATTACTCATTTAATAAATTCATAAAAAAAACGTTTTCATCACAAGCTTTTATGTGATAATGCACACAAAATTAGAAAATAAATTATACACTACTATTTAAATAACTATAAAGAAAAGCGTAGGTCACTTTAGTATCTATTGGATACCTTTACTAATATTTTTTAATGCATTATTACATAAAACCTTGTTATTAAAACGTTTTTTTATGAATTGTTTTTCAGTACTTTAATTTTTGTATTTACAATAGAGTTGCATGACAAAAAAACACTGCGCACCAAAAGAACATGATAACGCATGTGTAATAGAGGGGAATAGTTGTGTAAGACAGGCTACTACTTTGGACACAATTTTAATTAATTCATAAAACATTAATTAGGCATCCAATTAAGTTAAATTTAATGTTAGATTGCATTATCTTCACGTCG